TAGGAAATAGGAATCGAACAAAAAAATAGTTTGAGAGGTAAAGAACTTTGGGATACATCAGCTCAAAAGCTAGCTCAAAGGGTGGGAGTGTTCAAGGCCTTATAAACTCCACATTAGTTGCACATACAATCAATGAGACTATATATCTCAACACGCCCCCTAATGCAAGAGCCCTTTGGGCTAGAAGCTTGGATATTGTACAAGTTCAATTTTTGGTTTACTTTTTATTTTAATTCCACTTTAAAGTGGGGACGGTAAGTGGGGACGGTGAGCTCTGATACCATCTAAAGAACCTTGGGATACACTACCCCAAAAGCTAGTTCAAAGGGAGTGCCCAAGGCCTTATAAACACATTAATTGCTCGTACAACCAATGTGAGACTATATATGTCAACACACCCGATCCCATTGGACTAGAAGCGTGGATATTGCATAGGCCCAATTTTTGGTTTACCTTTTTGTATTTTTTATTTTAATTCCACTTTAAAATAGGAGGTGGTGTATCCCAAAATTCTTTACAAGTGTCTTTATTTTGTTTGCTCATCAATGATCAAGAATGGCTATCGTTAGTTTCCAAAATAAAAAAAGAATGACTATCGTTTGTGAATTGTGATTTAAGAGTAATAAAAAAAAAAGGATAAGGAGAAAAATAGTCCGCTTTTTGCAGTGTCTTTCTCATCCAACAGCCAACGTTAAAGTCTAAAAACCTTTGTCCTCTTCGATGGTTATAATAGCAAAGGCTTAACAAAGAGGTCATTGTCCATAAAAACCGTTGGTCGTGAAAGGGAATGTGTATTGATTTCTCATTAGGATTGTGCAATGCATAAAAGAAAAAAACACAGAATAAGGATGTGTTTGTGCAGGGGAGAGAGGCCCTCACAGAATGCAGCCCTCTTTTTCTGACAAATTATATTTTGTCTTAGCGTAAGAGGGGAACAGTAAAGTAAATTGCATAATGACTGAAATTCAATTTTGAACGGAGCATTTCTCAAAGGATCTAGTGCGTCTGCCTCACACACTTTTAAGTTTCGAAATTTTATTGTATGTATAACAATCATTTTTCTTTCATATATTAAATATAAAGAGTCACTAGGGTTAGCCTAGTGGTATGGGGTGTGTGTTAAGAGTGTGTGTAGTATAGAGTGTTGTGTTCAATTCCTTGTAACCTCCAAAATATATATATATATATATATAAAGAATCAATTGTTTGCAAGTTTCTTGAAAAAGAGAAATTTTTTAAATGTCATATTTATATGAGTTTGTCTACTCTCATGTTGTAGGAGAGATCATATCTTATGCTAAGACACAAGATGATGGGACCCACCACTTAAAAAGAAAAAAAAAAGAAAATAGCAGCACACTTATCAAAGTGTCTATGGCATAAGATAGTACTCTCATACAACATGAGACTACTATTTCGCTATATATATATATATAAAGGAAAAAGTGTTTGTCATTTTAAATGACAGAAAATTATGTTATTTTAAGAGAGATACAGACTATGAAGCACCGACGCTTCAAAGACCTTGACATGTCGTGTCCGACACTTCCCGACACTCTCGGACACTTCGACACTCTCCGACACTCCAACACGTATTGTAGAAACTCAAAAAATAGTTCAAAGGTTGCATTGCGTTACGTTTTTAGTTTCAACTAATAGCTTCGTTGGATTACGATTATAATTTTATTGAGTTTAATATAAATATTTGAAATATCTTATGTTTCTTTGCAAAATTGATGGGTATTAAAAGTTTAACCTCGTTTTTTTGTTAAATTATTGAATATTAAATATAATATACACTACATAAATAAAAATATTATTTAATATCACAACGTGTCCTAACATGTCGAAATCTAACAGTTTTTAGAATTAACGTGTCGGAGTATCGTATCGTGTCGTGTCCCGTGTCGGTATCGGTGCTACATAGGATAATACAGACACAGAAAATTTGAATTTTAAATTAAAAAAAAACCACACATTTTCTCTTTCCTATGATTTCCGTTTTTCTGTGTCTATCTTTCTCCTAAAATGACATAACTTATGTCATTTAAAATGACAAACACCAAACCCATATATAAATATTAGCCTCATGTCATAACAAAATATGAATCCAACAAGAGATATTTTATCTATTATTACATAACAAAATATAATTCCATATATATAATTCCTCTAATAATGCAGATGTTAGTCAACTCCTTTTAGGGAATGCCTTTAATTATTTGACTGCTTTTAAATACTGAATTCTGTTTGCAGTGTCTGAGACTCTACTGTTTGTAAGTTTGTTTGGTTATATTGAGATGTGGCCCGTGTGGGGAAGACATACAGGGAATACTTGTTCTTGTTCGTATGCAAGTTTCAATACTAGTTCAACCTTACCGGCACCTCAGGCAACATCATGATGAATACACCCACCCAAGGATCTTTGGTAATGGTAGGGCATCTACCCGTTTTGTCTTTCAACTTACACAATTTTTTATTAGTAAAACAAAACAATCTTTTTTGCAATGGGTAAAAAAAACAAAATGAATGGACAAGCCCATATGTATAACTACAGGGAGGTTCCATCCAAATTGTCAGGGCTCTTATATAACACCCAGTGTAATCTATTGGGTTGGCCATCAGACAGAACACGTGACTGCAAATTGCAGAAGCCATTCCAACTACTCTTTCATACCTGATGCGGAAGTATTCACGTGGAGGCCAAAAATCAAGATGTTAGTGAGGGAAATGCAATGTTAATATGTTCAGCATGTGTAGCAATTGGCTGAGAAAATTTCGTGATGTTCCAATCGATACACATTAATTCGTGTTATTTTGCATTGCTGATGAAGTGATGAATATATAGTCTTACATGTTGTTGATCCGGACCAACTTGGCCGCATTTATGTTGGTCCGCTTCTACTGAGCCCATTTTAATTGGGCCAACTCCTACTCCCAATACATCCAAGTTTGATAGTGAATTTATTTTTTATTTTTTTTTGTAATAAGTTTGATAGTGAGTTTACCAACAAAAAAAAGAAAATTTGAAAGTGAATTTGGCATCTTAAGATTCCTTATCTTTTGTTTCCAAAAAAAAAAAGATTCCGTATCTTTTACATTACGTCATTATGATTCTTTTTAATTGTTTTCAATTATTTAAACGTAATTTTGGCAATGACCTTGGAGTCCAGGGGCACCTCGTGGTATACTAGGTGGGAAGTTTGATCCCCTTTCGAGGAGCGAAATTAGAAGTGGAACTTTTTACGTGTAAAAGTGGTCTATTTGATCACAATCATTTATTTAAAAATTATACATTTTTTTTCTTTCTTATCTTATCATCAATGAGTGGTTGTGATCAACTAACATGATCACATGATCACTTTTTCACACGAGAGAATTCACTCTCAGCAAAATTTGTATTCTTCAAGAAAAATTTGGTGGGATTGAAGGGAGAGAAAGAGATAAAAGGTTGAGGAGAGAAAGGAGAGAGAAGGACAAAAAAAGATTGATCCAGGTGTCAATTTTTTAGTGGAAGAACTATGACGATACCTGATCATATTAAAATTTTCCCTTTCGAGCTATTCTCCCCTCGCAAGTCGCAATTGTATTTTTTATTTTTAAATAAATTTCCCCTTATTCAGACTTTTTTTTTATACACCCTTATTCAGACTTCTTTGTTTCTATTGGAAGATTATATTAGGACTTGTTCTAAACTTATTTTGAAGTTTTACTCTGAATTAGATTTTGTAAATTTATTTTTTAGTACTTTAAGAAAGTTTAATTTACCAAAAAAAAACAAGTTTAGAGCATTGTTTTAAAACTTGGCACGATAATCGACTCGGTCGAGGTATTTGGGCATTGGTTCAATCGGTTTAATTAAATTTATATTAAATTATATAATAAATATATTATAAGGTACATTTTGACCAATAATTGAGGGTAACCTAGTCGTAAGTGGTAACAATTTTTACTCTCAGACTGACTAGTGGTAAGTGGTAACACGACTAGTTTGATTCCCGTTGCCACTATCAAAAGTGAAATATTTAATTCAATTTTTAAAAAGTTTGTATAACGGAGAAAACAACTTGACCCACGAGTTACTGGGATTCGGTCGAGTCAACCGGTCGAAACTGGTTCAACTGCATGACTGATCAAATAGTCAGCTCGAACCAATACCCTCATCAGGTTATCGAACCCCGGGTCAACCCGATCGGTTCGATTCGAGTTTTAAAACACAGATTTAGAGTGATTTAAGCTTTAAAATATGAGATATGATATTGTTACTATCAAATAATATTACTACCAATGTTACACTATATCTTAACCGTTGATTTTCGTCAATTAACGGTTATTATTTTTACAAATCAAACTCATTAATTAATTATTAATTCACAATAAATGACAATCATTGATCGACAAAATCAACGATTACGATATGGTAGTAACATTATTTGATATTAAAAACATATTATCCCTTATCTTATTGTTAAAAGACAAAAGCTATTTAACTTTTAACTATTGAAGCCCATTTGTTCGGGCTTTTAGAAAAAAAAATAATTTTTATTTTTTTTTATTTTAGAAATATTTTTAATAAAAGTTAAAGTTATTTATATTTTTATAAAAGAAGAAGTATATTGTAATAATTAATTAGTGTTACTATCAATCAATTTCACCATTAGATCGATTATGTTGACCCAATCCACCGGTTATATTTATTTTCATTTTTGTTGATTTTTCATATTTAATACTTTATATTTATTTTCACTTTTGTATGATTATGATTTTACATATTTAATGCTTTTACATTAAATATGGTGAGTCATAACTATATAAAAATGAAAAAAAAATATAATCATTGGATCAACATAATCGATCTAACGGTAAAATTAATTGGTAGTAATATTAATTGATTGTTACAGTATCCTACCTAACATAATATTTAATTCATAAAAATTGATATCCGTGATATATATAATATATAATATTATTTTTCTAACGTAACAGTTAGAAAATATTTTTTTTTTCTGTTTTTATGCACAAAAAAGAGCTGATAGTTGTGGCAGGGTGACAGTGGTACGCATCAACTCCAATCATCGACGAAGTAGTTTCCGGCGGATCTTCTCCGAAGGGTGTGAGAAAATGAACGATTCCGATGTCTCCAAACAAATCCAGCAGATGGTGAGGTTTATACGCCAGGAAGCTGAGGAAAAAGCCAACGAGATCTCTGTCTCTGCCGAAGAAGTAACTTCCATTTTCTTCACTTTTTATCCTATCAATCTCTTTTGTTTGGATCGCCATCGATCTGATGCTCTCGAATGGAATGGTATTGTTTTCGTGCAGGAATTCAATATCGAGAAGCTGCAGTTGTTCGAAGCCGAGAAGAAGAAGATCAGGCAAGAATACGAGCGCAAACAGCGCCAAGTTGAAGTTCGGAAGAAGATGTAAACTTACTTTATACCTTTCTATATCGACATTCATTTATTGAAATGGTTGAGATTTAATTCTGGAGATTAATTCCCACTCTAAATCCCTATTTTATTTATTCAGACAATAATTCTGGCGATGTTCAATTAACTTTCAAACTATTGGCATCTGTGGCTAATTACTTGAATTTAAGGTTATTGCTAGAATATGATGAATGGAATTATATTTTTTTTATTTTTAAAAAATAATGAGTGAGATTGAGAGTTTAGTTTTCGAGGCTTAATTTATTTCATGCTGTGAAATACTGTCTATTGCGGTATCGTCCTTCTAGCTTGCAAAAACAGTGCTGGTTGAGATGGTTTAAGTTTCGTGGCACAATTGTTTGTTTCAGTGAGTACTCAATGCAGCTGAACGCTTCTCGGATTAAAGTTCTTCAAGCTCAGGATGACATGATTAATTCCATGAAAGAAGCTGCATCCAAGGAACTTCTGAATGTGCATCATCATCATCATGTGTACAGAAACCTTATTAAAGATCTCATTGTTCAGGTCAGTTTAAATTTGAATATTGTATATGGTTTGGTCTTTCAGTTTTGCTAAGTATCTTTATCAGATTATTGTTTACATATTTTGGTAGAGTCTTGTACATAGACAACCAGTGCTGCTGTTATTATTTGTTATGTCCTAATTTTGTATTATTTATGATGCTACCATTGTAGGCTTGTAGCTATATCTAATGTTTTTATTACAATTATCTGGTGTCACCAATGAATCAATGTCATTAATTGTTTCAAATCATTACTATTTCATGACATGGGATGTAACCTTGGTGTTTACAGTGGTGTGTTTAATGTCATGGGTTCAATCTCTGCCCCGTCCCCTTACCCTTCCCTCTTTCCTAGGTCTACAAGGCCTCCTTCAGTCCTTTGTAATTCTATATATATGTCCTTGCAAATTCTGATTTTGTTTTATTGACTACTTTCTATTATGTGGACTTGGAATATAATATACGGATTGTATGCTACAGAGTTTGCTAAGACTGCAAGAACCTTCTGTCTTATTGAGATGTCGGAAACATGACCTGCACGTGGTAGAGCATGTGCTGGATTCAGCTGCACAGGAGTATGCTGATAAAGCAAATGTGGATCCTCCGGAGATCCTTGTTGACAAAAAGGTCTATCTTCCACCTGCACCCAGCCATCATCATGCCCATGATCCCTACTGGTAATGTTCATGTTATAATTAAATGATTAAATCATAAGTTACTTTCTGACTCTGTTAATCAGGGCATTGCTTCTTGCCCATGCTGTACCATCTTTCTCTTGATTAGTTGTAATGTAGCATTATCTTCAGGTAAAAAAGAATCAAGAGTTTGAAATCTTAAGATTAACTTGCTTTTAGTGTTCGTAGTTGATTGAGGATGCTTCCTAAAATTGTATTATCTGTGTAGCTCCTTTTATATTTAGATATCAATTTCAGCAAACCTGATTATATTTGTTGATTTTCAGCTCTGGCGGGGTGGTGTTGGCTTCTCGAGATGGAAAGATTGTTTGTGAAAACACTCTTGATGCCAGACTGGATGTAGTGTTCCGTAAAAAGCTTCCAGAGGTAAACTTTTTGTGCATAACAATTATCTTGTTCTGTGACTTGTATCCTCTTTGTTATATATTTGCTGCTTGATTGTTTGTATTGTTGGCTTTCATATAATTTTCAACTAGAAAGGTATTTATTTTCAAGATGTTGGAACTTTGACACTGGAATAAAACACTTCTGGCGAATCATACACATTGTGATGGACAACTAGGACAATTAACCGGAATGAGTGTTATGAAAGGGTTGGGAGCCGGAGGGGACTTAAGGATTAAGGTTTTACTGTTGAACATGGGAAAGAGATAAAGTTCTTCAAACAAAACTCTGTGAACTAGCTGCTACTGCTCACTGTCAGATTCTGGCATTTATGATTCAATTTCCTTTCTCAAGATATGTATTTTCTTGGGTAGTGTTGTGCACTTCATTCCTCAATATTATACACTTTCTGTTTCTTTTCATTAAAGTTAAAACCTACTGCAAATGACTTTTGATTTGGTTTGAAAACTTATAAGATTTTTTCCCCTACTTTGTTTCTGTGCCTTTGTATTTGCTTCACTGGTCAAAATATCCTCTTAGCTAATTGTTCTTCATACTTTCTTTCTCCTTCCAAACGAAATATACCTTATTGCCATTAATCCAATATTTCCTAACTTTCGGTCTATTGTATATTGTTGACTTTGTAGGATTCAAATTTCCTTATTTTTTGGAGTGTCATGTGTCTTAATGCATATTGTGTAATTTCATTTATTGGTCTTAGTAGGTAATTTCGTCTCAGCATGAAATAACAACCAAATATGTAGATGAACTAGTTGCACCTGAACCTCAAATGGTTGGACTAAATGGGATTTGGGTATAGGTCATACGTTAAGTTCAAGTTGTACTAACCACTCATTGATTTTTTTATTTTTTTTTATTTTTTATTTTGGTTTTGGGAGAAGGGGGGAGGGGGGAGGGGTTAAAAAAGATGAACTGGTTAACCATGTCCAATAACTAAATTCTAATGAAGTTTCTTGCTCCTTATTGCAGATCCGAAAGCAGCTCTTTGGACAAGTTGCAGCTTAAAGATTTAAAGACTCTTGATTTTATTGTTTCATTTCCCCTGGAATATTTATTCCCTGAAATAAAATCTTGTCTTTGACCTGAATATCTATCCTTCCATTGCTTATGTAGTCTCAGATTCTTATTATTCTCCGCGAAATAACTCCATTTTTTTGTCAGTCCAGTTGTTCCCATGTCATGGGGACATGCGGCCTTCTAAATTTTTTTTACTGATGAAGTGTTTACACCTTGATGATAACTGTTTGCTCCAGCTCTTTGCAGCTCTGGCAATTAATAATATATTGAACATTGCTGTCAGCGTTGGGATGGGAATAATGGTGTGCTTAGTGCAGTAAAAGCTGAAAAAGTGGGTGGATAATAAGTGAAAATTGCGGTGGATGTAGTCTAGATACATCATCAATTTTCGTTCTTAGTTTTTTTCTTCTCCCCATTTTTACTTTGCTAAGCAGAATCGTACACTGCTACTGATGAAGTATTGAGATATACTTCTCATTTTACCAGTTCACGTTGCTTTATCATTTTATCGTCATTGTAGGCATTATGGTACTTTTTTTGGAAGTTCTCAGTTCTTGTTATTATTTTACAACATATTTTCTTGTTTTATCATCATTGATGCAGAGTGCAGTGGAAGTATGTTGTCTTCATCGTACATTGTTAGATATATTTTTGTCCAGGGCAGTACTAAGAACGCAAAATATTTTTGGTGTCTTGAAATAAACAAGGTGAAACAAACAGAAGGGAGTAAGAGTTGCTTGAATTTTATTATTTTCATTCACTGAAGTAGAACAAACAGAAGGTCTTGCTTTCTTTATGAGGAATATGATTGTATAATATTGAAATGCAAACATTGATTCTCATTTAAAATTTGAAACATTAGATGGAAAAGAAGGTTGGGAAAGGTGTTCTGGAGCTCATTTTTCCTAAGATCCATATGAAGTCTTAACAAATGATGCTCTGTTTCCATATAACAGAAAGAATGTTCATTTTTTTTTAGTACAAAGAAAAAATGTTCATTTAGTAAAGACAAAATACAAAAAGAGAGAAAATGATTTCCTCTAGTTTTAAGTTATATTTTATACAACCACGATTGATCTTTTCTATTCGTTTCATGCTATATTGCTATCAGATAATTAAACAATTTAAAAAAATTGCTTCAATGTAAGGTAGGAGAAACATGTTACATACGGCGCATTCACAAAACAAAATTCTCATATGTATTTTACTATTTTTTTAAACAAAATTTAAGATTAAGTTTTGATTCATTGTCAATATAAATTTTCTTACATCATCATTTAATTATATATTATTAATTTTAACTATTAAAACAAGGACTTATAAAGTCTAACTCTTTTGATGATGGGATAATGTCTTATTGAATAAGTATAAAAATTTATATTTAAATTTAAACTCTAAACTTTATGTGATGTATGTTAGTTTATAAAAACAAAGTATAAGCAAGCTAAGAGTGTCTCAAAATCAAGCGTAAATCTTAACCTACACGTTTCTTAGGTTATTTTGGAAGTAATTGATAAGACCCAAATAATAAAATAAAATTCAGTCATTATTATTCCCATTTCTCACACCCATTACAATCTTGCTCCAGGATCTAAAATTTAAATAGACATTTGAGTCGCAGTATAAAAATGAGGTTAAATGATTTGTTGGCAACTGAAACGCAGTCGTTTGATCGGGAGTGAGTCACAAATGATTAATGAACGCACGCATCTTTGGAGGCAACGACCTCCACGGCACCTCCTCGTTGGTGGTTAAGTCACTGTCCCTTCAGTCCCTCGACGAGTCCGCCACCAACCCCCATAAAACAAAATAACACAACCCACAGCACAGCACAGCACTTCTTAGTTCTTCCTCTCCTACTAAACTAAACGCTAAATACTATTTAACACTCCCCAATTCTATTAGGATAATAATAATAATAATACATTTATTTATAGACTCACTCACTCACTCACCCCTCTGTCTCAGATCACCTACCATTCATTCCCTTTCTTCCTCGCTCTAATCTAATCTCACTCTCATCCTTAGGAATATGGAGTCTGCAGCTTTATCGCGCATAGGCCTAGCGGGCCTTGCCGTCATGGGCCAAAACCTAGCCCTCAACATCGCCGAGAAAGGATTCCCAATCTCCGTCTACAACCGCACAACCTCCAAAGTAGATGAGACCGTAGATCGTGCTCGCAACGAGGGTTCCCTCCCTCTCTTCGGCCAATACAACCCACGCGATTTCGTTCTCTCCCTTCAACGGCCCAGATCAGTTATCATCCTCGTCAAAGCCGGCGCCCCCGTTGACCAGACCATCGCCGCCCTCTCCGACCACCTGGAGCCCGGCGACACCATCATCGACGGCGGCAACGAGTGGTACGAGAATACCGAGCGCCGAATCCAACATGTTTCCGAAAAGGGGATCCTGTATCTGGGTATGGGTGTCTCTGGGGGCGAAGATGGTGCTCGAAATGGACCCTCTTTGATGCCTGGTGGGTCCTACGAGGCCTATTCCAACATCCAAGACATCTTGATGAAGGTCGCTGCTCAAGTCGAGGATGGCCCTTGCGTCACTTACATTGGCGAGGGTGGTTCTGGAAACTTCGTCAAGATGGTTCATAACGGTATTGAATATGGGGACATGCAGCTTATTTCTGAGGCTTATGATGTTTTGAAGCACGTGGGTGGGTTGTCCAATTCTGAGCTTGCTGATATTTTTACTGAGTGGAACAGAGGGGAACTTGAGAGTTTCCTCATTGAGATTACTGCTGATATTTTCAAGGTGAAGGATGAGGGTGGTGATGGGTATTTGGTGGATAAGATTTTGGATAAGACCGGCATGAAGGGTACTGGGAAATGGACTGTGCAACAGGCGGCGGAGCTCTCGGTGGCTGCTCCTACCATTGCTGCTTCTTTGGATTGCAGGTACTTGAGCGGCTTGAAGGAGGAGAGAGAGAATGCTGCCACCGTGTTGAAGGAGGCAGGGCTGAGTGAGGAAATAGGGTTGAAAAGTGGGGTTGATAAGAAGCGGTTGATTGATGATGTGAGGCAGGCTTTGTATGCTTCCAAAATTTGTAGCTATGCTCAGGGGATGAATTTGTTGAGGGCCAAGAGTGATGAGAAGGGGTGGAATTTGAATTTGGGTGAGTTGGCAAGGATTTGGAAAGGTGGGTGTATCATAAGAGCGGTGTTCTTGGACAGGATCAAGAAGGCTTATCAGAGGAACCCTAACTTGGCAAGTTTGATAGTGGACCCTGAATTTGCGAGGGAAATGGTGCAGAGGCAGGGAGCGTGGAGAAGGGTTGTGGGGTTGGCTATATCATCTGGGATAAGCACTCCAGGGATGTGTGCTAGTCTTGCTTACTTTGATACATATAGGAGAGCAAGGCTTCCTGCTAACCTTGTTCAGGCTCAGAGGGACTTGTTTGGGGCTCATACATATGAAAGGGTTGATCGACCTGGCAATTTCCATACGGAGTGGACAAAACTTGCTCGCCAGACCGGTGCTGGAGTTGGTGCTCTCAATTGATGTCTTTAGCGTGGTTAGTTTTTTGGTTTGTTGGTCATGCAGCATTTGAGCTTAAATTGTATGTTTATTGGAGGATCCTTGCTTAGGCAGAGCAACTATTATTTACTTATTATAGCTGTTTTTTTTGCTTTTAATAAAAGAAAGGCATGTCATTTGACTTCCACAGGCTTTTACTTGTTTCAAGTTTGCTTCCTTAACAAGACTCCAGATTGTTGATGTTTTTATCACGTGAATATGTTTCCAATTAGATTTTTATAATTACCTGTCCGAACTACCGTTGCATTTTGTTTGAAAGAGTATAACATGAATTTCTTGACAAAATATAATGAGAACTGTGTTGAAAGTTTATCTATCAACAATGGTGGAAACATCCTTCCAGGCTTCAATAGGTTTTGGTTTCCTGAGCCTTACATTACAGGTGATCTTGGATTATGTCCCCAAGGATTTCCTCTTTTTCTTTCTTTGTAACTTCAATGTGTATCCAGTTTTGTCTTGCATACATCCGCGTGCTTGTGTGTTTGTAAGTTTTTGTGCTTCTTGTTGATGCCTTGATGGCCAAGTTTTTATGGTTGCTTTTTCTTTGGGCAACCTTCTGGAGTAAAGACTCATGACTGCTTTTGTGATATTGTTTTTTTAGCTGGATTTTATTGGAGTTTACGCTCCTTTTCCGGCTCAGATATCAAATTTAATGGCCTACACTTTACAGTTGTATGAGGCTAATTAACAAATGCCAATTGCTTCATGCGATTGAGGAAGGTGATTATGCGTTACTCGTGGCATTTCTTCTACCTGAGAGAACATTTTCTATGAGACTAGGCGAGTACCTAGTCCTAGAGAGTTAAGAGACTGATAATAAGGCGCAATCTTGAAATATCTACGAAACCATTCCTTCATTTATGGTCAAAATACACCTTGTCATCATTGCACAGAATGGACTAACCTTGTTACATATGCACTGATAAAAAAAACTATTAGTAATGTGATAAGTGTAATTGGACAAAGGATTATATGGGAAAACACAATGAACTACGGAAAGCCGCTCTCAAGAACCGGCTGAGTTCTTGTCACTTCTGCGGAGGGCATTTTATTATTGCCAACCCATCTACTTTCAAGAACCAGATCTTCGTTGGCATGTTTTTCCATGGCTCGAATCCTTTTGGTCTTGAGAAGTCTCAAGGATGAAAATCCCGCATACCCCACTGTAATCAACCCAAAAAATCCAAGCACAAAACCAATCACCCGCAGATACCATGGTCGCCTCTTCTTCTCCAATGGGAAAACAATCGAAAAATGACCCTGGTCTCTCGCGTAACACATACCGAGAGAACTCATCTCAGTAATTTGAAATGCTCCATTAGCATTGAAAGCTACACATCTCGCCCTTGAGTTGATACCATCCGTAAATGCAACGCTGGGGAATTGAATAGATATAGGGTGACCCATTGTGTTGAGAGTGAGGTTTCTGACACTTGTATCTGTTACATTGGAGGCATCAAAAACCATGAAGCCAACAACAGAAGAGATGAGTGTGTAACCTGGCAAATTGTAGTAATGAGAAGACCAGTTGCCCAAGTTTTGGTACACAATAGCCAATCTCCTGACGTGGGGAATGGAGATGGTTCTTGGTGGGATCCGGAAGTAGCTAAAGTTAGCACCTTTGTTCCACAGCCTTCGGCTTCTAAGACGTACTACTGAAACGTCCATACCAGACAGGTTCCGCGGAAGAAGAGCATCATATAGAGCACCAGTTTGAGGCCGGTGTTTGACAAGTGACCTGAAAGCAAAATCTTGAACCAAGGAATTCAATGATTCAGTGGCAGTGTTGTCCAAGCTTTGCACCACGGAGCAGCAACACAGGCTGAAAACCAACACCCACACGTTGGATCCCATTAACAGCAAAAAAGAACAATCTATACAGGTTTTTAAGGAAAGAAGAGTGTCAATGCGGCGTTCTGTTTTAGGTCTTGTTGGTTTCGTTTCGCTTCGTTGTATAGAACTGGTCATAGATGTTAATAAAATACAGCACCGAGTCCAATGATAGTAACTTTCCACAAAGAAGAAGCATGCTCAGGTTTGGGTCCCAACCACGGACTCCAGAGGGAAAAGAGACTCAAAAAGTCGCAATTGACTGACTTGGGGAGTTCTGATTCCATCTGATGGCTTGGTCTGTGTAGGAGAGAATCTTTGTCACTACAATGCGAGAAGCAACTTTAGCATGCGTTGATTGCTCATTTTCTCTCCTCAATGGGAGGCAAATTTCGCTAATGATATTATGAATTCCACTCAGCAATTACAAAATTCGGAAAGCATGATGTCCAAATTTGGCCCGGCCCATAAGGAAAGCCCGTCCAGCTAGGAAGAGACATTTTCAGGGGCTTGTTAAACTTCCAGGCCCAAACTTGGACGCCAAGCCCGGCAAAATTTCAAAAAAAAAAAATGACATTAAGGTACGAGATTTTAGATTTCGTCAGCATAAAAAAATAGAAATAAAGATTATTTTCGCCTTACAGTTCCTAACGGGTTGGTATACGTGATATGTTTTGTTGAATATTGGAAATTGAATACGTTGAATTATTAATAAGAGCGTAAATCCAGTTAAAGTTATTGAAGTTCAGTTTCCTGATTAGATGATTGGTGTTATAATGGCTTCTATAACTTCTAATCGTTCGAGGGTCTTGATAAATGAGGTGGCTTCGGATTGCATAGTTCCTCAGAGATGAATTCGTCAAGGGGATCCAATATCTCCTTATATTTTTGTGTTGTGTGTTGAGAAGCTTTCCCACTTGATCGCTGAAAAAGTGACTATGGGTTCGTGGAAGCCTATTAGAGTCTGCAGAAGAGGGCCGAGTGTATCCCACCTTTTATTTACAGATGATATCATTCTCTTTGCGGAAGCAGATATGGAGCAAGCTAAGGTGATTATGGATTGTATTAATCTCTTTTGTGAGATGTCGGGGCAAAGTGTTAGTGCAAATAAATCTTTGATTTATTTTTCCCCGAATACTGATACTCAAGTTGCTACAAGGATTGTCAACAGAATGGGCTTTAAGCGCACTTCTAGTATTGGCAGATATTTAGGCTCTATTGTTAAACAAAGGAGATATATTAAAGCAGACTATGGAGCTATCAAGGATAGGATACGTTCAAAACTGGATGGTTGGAAAAGCCATTGCCTTTCTTTTGCTGGTCGAGTTGCTTTGGTGAAATCGGTCATTGCTGCAATCCCTTCTTTCCATATGCAGAATGGTCTTTTACCAGTAACGTTTTGTGATGAAATTGAGCAGATACAAAGGGCTTTCATTTGGGGAGATCAGGATAGCAGAAGGCGGGCTCATTTAGTAGCTTGGGATCAAATGTATAAACCCAAAGATAGAGGTGGTTTGGGAATAATTAACCTTCGAATCCAAAATGAAGCTTATATTCATAAACTGGCGTGGAAGGTGTTAACTAAGAAAGATGATTTATGGGTTAAGATTTTAGTAGCCAAGTATGGTAGAGGTCAAGACTTAAGGAGAGGTATAAAGGCAAAATCATATGACTCTAAACTTTGGCGTGATCTTGCTAAATGTTGGAGTAATTTCCTTGCTGGTCTTAGATGGGAAATAGCAGATGGTTCTGAAGTAAAGTTTTGGACTGATAACTGGTTGGGATGGGAGGAAAATTTGCAGCAGTTGTCGAGCAATCAGGTGCCGTGGGAGGAGAGTCAGAAATCAATTGCAGATTACATGGTGGATGATGGTTTCCGTCTTGAAGTTGTTCATCAATTTCTGGAGTCAGATTTGGCTGATGCAGTAACAAATCATCTCAGGCTTATTCCAAGGAATGGGGAGGATAGATTAGTTTGGATCAATAATCATCACTCAACTTCTTTGGTTAAGGTCGCTTACGGTAATCTTATGAACTTCCCAGCAGATGTTCACACTAGCTTATGGAAAAAAGTTTGGTCGTGGAATGGACCAGAACGAGTGAAAGTGTTTATGTGGATGACTTTGCTTGCTAAACTTTCAGTGCGCAGCAGAACCAGTAAGTGGAGCGGAGGTTCAAATGTCTGTCCCAGTTGTCCAAATCATGAGGAAACTATTATTCATGTTCTTCGTGATTGTAGACATGCTAGGAAAATTTGGCAATCTTGGTTTACAGGTTCGATACCCAATTCCTTTATGAATTCGAATTTGCAGGATTGGTTGACTTTAAATATCGATAACGTGTGGTCCTCCAATAAAGTGAAGGACTGGAGGGATATTTTCTTTACTACTTGTTGGTTTTTGTGGAAGTGGAGAAATTTGGAGATCCATGAAGATCATTTCTGTCATGATGAGCAATCATAGACTTCAATTTGGATGTTTGTCCAACAGATTCTGCAAGCCCGAATTTATCAGCGCCGTGGTGATTCCAACGATAGCGTTTGGACAGCCCCCAAGCAAGGGTGGGTTAAGTTGAATTGTGATGGAGCTTTTTCTAGTGGCATGAAAAAAGCTAGTTGTGGTGGTATATTAAGAGATCACAATGGATCCTTTTTGGGAAGCTTCTATTGTAATTTAGGTTCCTGCAATCCTCTTGATGCAGAATTATGGGGATTACTGAAAGGTTTGGAACTGCTTTGGGGAACAGGATTAAAAAGAATAGAGCTAGAATGTGATTCTAGACAAGCCATCCAGATGTTAAAGGAGCAGCATGAAGATCCTAGGGACTCTCAAGTCACTAGCAGATTGAGATTATGGTTAAAAGCAGATTGAACTATTCATCTTGTTCATACCAAGAGAGAAAACAACAAATGTGCTCATTGGTTAGCTAAAGCTGGGCAGACTAATAATCTCCATTTCAAGATTTTTAAAGATCATCCTCCTCAGTTGATGGAACTTATAGTTGCTGATGCTAGAAATATGTCTAGCTTGTTAGTTTCTGATTTGTAATTTCTTTCTGTTTCTGGGGCTTAGCCCCTCTTTATTTACACAAAAAAAAAAAGAATTAAGATGATATAAGTGAGGTCACGAGAATTGGACTCGTGAATCTGTGGAGGTTCTAATATCATAATAAATAATTATTTTATTTAAAAACTCAAGCTGTTAAGTAAAGGTTAATCAATAATTTTTAATTATATTTCTAACATGATAATAATAATTACAAATATTGTTGTTGATTTAATGTTTTTCCTATAAATTAAAGATCAAATTGTTTTAAACAGGAGTGGATGTCAGTGAGGAGAAAAAAGATAAAAAGGTGCTCTATCATGCTGGGAAAACATCAAACTTTATTGTTGTTACTTGTTAGGGTTTATCATCTATCATTTAACATGACCACAAAAATTTTCCTACACACACAACATTTTGTGGGGCCTGCAGCAAAAAAAAAAAAAAACTTCGGCACGCAAAACGAATCTCTATAACATAACACAATCACTTTTCCTACAACATAACTCTTATAAAACCTTAGTTATTATTAGTGTAAAATCATATAAACAAAGCTACACGCTAATCTGTATTCTGTACTATGTAGCGTTATCCTCGCAAACAAAAATTAAATAAATAATGAAGTTTTGCAAGCTCCATAGCCCATCACATCTCAAGGCTCAGTATTAATCTTTGAGCAAGATATGCCATTAAAAATAAACTTGATGGGATGTTTATATTCCATTTCTGACTTCAAAGTGAGATTAAACTCCACGCATCACTATGCGGACTATATTGATACTGCACTCTTTAATTTCTTTTCGTTAAATAACTGGTATATCCTACATATCTTCGGCAACAGGTTTCTGTAATTGATGATTAAAGGACTTGTTCTTTATTCCTGCTCCATCTTTCAAAATGCGGCATCTATAATATACTAATTTTTTTATTTGAAAATAAAATTTACACATTATTTATAAACAAAATGATATTAGAAAAATGTTACGCAAATATCACTCCCCTTTAAAAGCATACCCTAGTTCGTTAAAATATATATCGTAAATACATTATTTAAAAAAATAATATCCAAACAACCGGATGAGGTAACTGAGGGGTTAAAAAGTGAACAAAAACTGATTAAATAAACAAAATCCCAAACAAAGATGTTGGAGAAAAATTCCAAAAAGAAGGATATTCTTACTATCAAAATCTTCTACTATCAACTCACTACTTATCTAATCATCATTGGATCAACATTTTTTTTTTTTCAAATTTTTTTTAACATTCTCTCTTTGATTCAATGGTGATTAGATAGGTAATAAGTTAATAGTAAAAAAAATTTGATAGTAAAAATATCCTTCCTCAAATTTCAATACATTAGGATTACTGAATTCCGTAGTCTCTTTTATTAAAAAAGAATTTTTTTATCCATATTTTTTCTTTTATTCGATGTTTTTTTGTTTTGTTTTTTGTAATAAAAGAGACTATTAAATTTGGTGGCGTGCATTGAAATTTTTCTGTGGATGTTGTTGACGCAATGAATAAGGATTATACACATTACACAGAGACCATGCCATGTGAGCAGGTGTACAGATGATTGTGGGAGAGCGCGTTGCGACTCAGAAGCCACATATAATTAGAGAGAGAAACGGGCAAATTGAAGAACCACAAGGTCACTTCATAGAATAATCCCATTTATCGAAATATATTTTTGAAAAGCAAAAAAGAAATACAGGAGATCGAGTGGGCTTACATTTTATATTAACTATTGCAAAACTATTCATTCATTTATTTGTGGATTTGATATTTCTCAATGAGAAAAAACTATTTTCTATATATAAAAATAGGATTTATCATCTATCATTTAACATGACCACAAAAATTTTCCTACACACACAACATTTTGTGGGGCCCGCAGCAAAAAAAAAAAAAACTTCGACACGCAAAACGAATCTCTATAACATAACACAATCACTTTTTCTACAACATAACTCTTATAAA